TTTTTACCCCAACTTTAAATTCTAGACATTGATCACAAATTCTTTTTGAAAGATCTTCTAAAAATTTCTTTTTAAAGAGATATAAAAATCCTATTCCATCTTCTACTTTACCAATTAACTCATTATGATTAATTGTACAATATAGATAACCATTAGGTGAAACTTCTTTTTTTCGTTTAGTACCATTGATAAAGTAACAAAATTTATTATCAATTTTTTCAATTTGTTCATAATATACAATAGTTTCAGAAACTAATAACATACAATATTCAGAAATGTTATCAATTTCAATTTCTTTTAAACAAACACTATGAAAATAAATATAACGAATATTATCTGGATAGTGTGAATTGAAATATTCAGCAAAGATTTTTGAAATCAAGTGAGATTTGATCTGTTGCTTGAATGTTAAATATCTGTAAATTTTTGTTATAATTTCATTTGGAAGAAAAAATGCCATGATTGGTTTATTTCAAAAAATAATTTATAAATATCAAAATTTCACACGTATCTAATAAAAAAACTTGAAAATCAATAAAGCTACAATTTTATACAAATATAAATTTCAAATATAAAATAAAATATTAATAATATAACAAATATTCCTTGGCATATTGTTCCAAATCTGTTAAACTCCAAATATACTTTACGCCATATTCCTCACAAATCTCATTTATCTCTTGAAACCAAATAAAATCCTCTACATATCTCTGCTTTTTCCATTCATCTAGATCTTCTGTATTATTCATTTTAGAATATTTATATCCAATTTCTTGAATATGAAAGTAACTTCGACAGTGTGCCTCTAAGAAGCTCAATATTACACTTAACCTTCTATTTTCTTCTTTCATATAATAATTAACTTTTAAATTATGGTTAATAATATTTTCTTTAATTAAATAATCTTTAAATAATTTATAATTTATAAAAACTTTATATTCTTTAATTTGTAAAATTATTTTAAATAAATTTAATTGATTTTCAAATTCGATTGGTTGTAAGGAGCTTTTAAAAGATCGAATTTGACGACCAATTATTCAAATTATTTCCAATCGATCTCGTGGTTTTGGATTTTTTATTAAATTTTAAAATGAGTTTTTTTAAGAAAGACATTATTAAAAAAAAATAATTTGAAATCGTTAAAAGATTTACAAACAAAATCCAAATTTTCATTGTCTTTGATCACCATCATTTATAACAAATTTTCAAAGAAACAAATACAAAAACTTGTAAATTTTACAAATATCTTTTGAATGATACAAAATAATGAGATTAGATAA